TAAGTGCAAGACAAATTACTGTTATTGTTGTTGTGAGGCGGTCCCACCCACCCTCTGGAGGCCTGCCTGCCAATTATCCCCTTTCTTCTGCAGCCAATCTCTCACCTCCTTCCCCAGCCGGCTCTGCGGGCCACTGCCTCTGGGCTCTGCCCAGACCCCCATCTGCACCCACCTTCTGCTCCCCCTCGGGCAGCCTCACTGCAACCACCACCCCCTCCTTCCTCCTGGCATCCTCTTGCCCCCCTCGGCACTCAATCCGGACACCCCCCGACTTCCAGTCCTGTGGCTGCTTCTGGTCTCAACTCTGCCACATCCACGCAGCACCCGGCACCTGCACGCAGGCACCCCGCTGTGCCCCTGCCTCTCCCCCGCCCTGCATCAAGGGCTCTTTACACGCTCCCCCACTATCCTGGCTCCCACCCTGCCCTCCGAAGCGCCCTCCCCACACCCCAGGCCAACTCATCTTGCTGAAGTCACTCCGTTCAAGCAGCCCAGTTAAAAACGGGGCATCTGCACAGACGCTCCTCCCAAGAAGATGGACAACTGGCCAACGCACATGTGACAAGAATGCAGCGCCGTTAGCCATCGGGAGACCGAGGCCACGGGGAGACCCCACTCGTGCTCCCCCGGAGGCATAACAAAACACCGAAAACAGCAAGTGCCAGGGGGGACGAGGCTGGAGCCTTGGTGCTGCTGGCGGGCAGTCGCTGCAGAAAATGCCCGGTTGTTCCTCCAGAGTCAAGAGCAGTGACAGTCCCACCCTGCGGTCCACACTCAGCACACTTGCAAGAGAAGCAAGATGTAACATACGTCCACAGAACACGTGTACTCAAGTGTTCACAGAAGAGACACTGAATGCCCAGTGGCAGATGCCCAGGCGCACAGGGAAACAGCGCCCAGTCACAAAGATCTGCACCCTGACAGGGACGGAGCCTGGAAGAGCTATGCTCAGGAAAGCAAACCAGACCCAGACAGCCACAGTGGCACAACTCCGTGTCTGAGAATGGCAGGGAAAGCAAGCAGGTGGGCAGCCCCAGGGGTGGGGAGAGGGGGCAACTGCCCAGGGGACAGGGAGCTGCTTTCTGGGGTGATGAAAACGCCCTAACATCGTCCGTGGTGGCAGCTACACAGCTCAGCGAAAGGATAGAACCGTGCCCCACGGGAACCACCCCATAAAGCTGTGAGCTGGCACGCCCCCTGCCTCAAGGGCCCCACCGCACAAGCCAGCCGCACTGGTCCAAACCCGTCTCCTCCCTGGCCCCTCTCCTCCCGGTCCCCCACTGGCTGCCCACCTCACCTGATACAATGACAAACTCTCTCCCAGCCAGGCCAGCCTCGAGAGGGCCTGCCCATCCTCCGCAAGGTTCTCACCTTTCAGGGCCTGCTCAGATGTCACCTACTCTCAGAAGCTCACACCGCCCTCCCACCTGTGGGGCTGACTTCCTGGCCAGTCTCTTCTGTTTCCTGCCTTGAGGTCTGAGTCTTTCCTGGCACCAAGCTCCCACGGCCAGTACTCTGCCACAGAGGACTGCTGGGGCCGACCGGCCTTCACTCCTCTGCACTGGCCGGCAATGCCCCCAGGGAGCCCTCTGGGGGGCCCACCAGCTCCTCCCTCACATCCCTCTCGCAAGGCAGCCTCACCCGTGTTCCAGGCTGGGCAGCTGAAGTGCAGACGGCATCCAGTCCTCCACCCTGGGGACACCTGAGACCCCCCCCTGGAGCCTCATGCCCGCTGTCCTGGGGGCGCGGGAGGCCTCTGTGGCACGCTTTCCTGTATGCTCTCCGGTGACTGCCTGCTGCCATCCCTCCCTCCCTGGAGCCAGTCTTGGAGCTCATTCTGGCAGCAGCCCTTTCTCTGGCTCCCATCCTCTGGGGACTTTCCCCTTCCCCGCCCGAGGTGGCCTGAGGAATATCCACACCACTATTCGCTCTCCCAGCCTTGTCCTGTGTGGGTGAGCACAGCAGCACCCCCAAGTCCCCCTCAGGTCTCCCACCTCCAATCCCCCACCCTGGCGAAGCCCGGCAGATGGGCCCTGCCCAGCCACCACCCCCACTCCCGAGGGGAGTTCTAGAACGATCAGAACCTGGATCTGCTGTCAGGCTGTAGCTGCCAGGGGTGGGGAGGTGGGGGAGGCGGCAGGATGGGGTGCCCTGGAGGCCACCCCCGGCACCCACAGGTACGCAGACCCTCGGGGAAGGTCCTGATCCTTAGAGGCTGGCAAGTAACTGAAACTGCTACAGACAAAGCCAAGTCGTCTGCAAGCCAAAAGCCCCACACCTGCAGGGGCACTGAGGATTCTGGTGATGGCACAGGCTGTGCAAGTCCGCCTGTGGCAACAAGTGTGCCACGGGTGGGGGTGCTATGCGTGTCAGGCAGAGGGCACGCAGGAATGCTCCGAACCTTCCTCTCCGTCTCGCTGTGGACCTAAAGCTGCTCTAGAAAAGGAAAGTTCCAAGTTCCAGTGATTCAGGAGGTGGAAGCAAGGACCACTTGAGCCCTAGAGTTCAAAACCAGCCTGGGCAACATAACGAGTCCCCATGTCTTTCAACACACACATACCCCACAGGCCGTCCCACATGCCACCGCCCCTCAGCTGAGCCAAGGAGCAGGCTGGCCACTTTCCAGGAAGGTGCGAACTCTCCTACCTGGCTCTCTGTAGAGTCCCCTCCACATACCTCGCCCACCCTCCCTCTGCAGGTCTGCTCAGTGCCATGAGCCCACTTTCCGAGGCCTGGCATCAACTGCAGCTCCCCTGGAAGCTTTCCTGGATTGCTCCTTCCCTCAGCTCCAACCGTCCTCCCTCACCCAACAAGAACAGACTGCTCCCATCATGGAAGCACTGATCCTGATCCCCACAGTCACTCAGGGATGGTGGTGGCCAGAGGACTGTCTCTCGGGTGCATGCTCCCACCCCTGTCCTCACAGGGTCAGTGTCAAGATCAGATGAAAGACATGTGTGAAGTGCTCACCCAAAAGCCAGAAGCCACCGTGGAGGCGCCCGGCAACACTATCACTGCTGTCCCCGTCCTGCAGACGGGAAGCAGAGGCCTGGACCCGTGGAGGGGCCAAGGTCACATCATATGGCCAAAGGCGGCTTGGCTCTCCTGACTCAGGGACACTGGCACCTGCTCCCTTTCCACCCCACCACGAGAGTGAGCCCTGTGTCCCTGGGAGGGATCCCTGTCTCACTCACCTCTGCGGCACCTCCTGCAGGCCCCACGGGGTCCAGCAGACTGCACTCGAGGAGGGCAGGGCAGCTCCCAGCACCAACCCTGCTTACTCAGGAATCCGGGCTCTGACCCGCCTCACCCTGGGCTGCAAGGCCAAGACCATTCTGGCACTCTGGTGGGTCCCCAGCCATGTCCTCCGCAAGGCCTGGCCATCCTGAAGCCTCGGAAGGGGGGGGTCGGTGGGCACAAGAGAGAAGCCCACATCCTGAGAGCCCAAAGGGAAAGGGTGAGAGGCCAAGGCAGGGAAACTCCTCCCCGGGGGCCTGGAGGGGTCACCCCGCCCCCGGGGGATGGATGTCCCGGAAAGCCCCACCTGGGTTTGGGGCTTGGGCTGGCTTCTCCATGCAGTGCTCCTGGAACGGGGCCAGGGACATCAACAGAGTGGCCGCCCCCGCCCACCCCCACAGGCTCAGGGAGGCCTCCTTACGGTCAGCCTGCATCTCAGCACACAACCCCCGTGTCCCCGCCACCTGTCAGCTACCTCTGCTTCTCCATATGCAAGAAGTCCCCTGACCCAACAGTGGCCCAGTGTGTAGGTATCCCCATGACAGGGCATCCCACAGGAAAGGGAGCTCAATATCCCTAAGCCAGCCACTGACACCCAGGAGGACTTCAGAACAGTCTCTGTATCTCCAGACCCCCAAGCTCTGGATCACAGGCAGACTCATGATCTGATGCTGCCCGGGCATGAGGATCCACCCTCTTCCCCTAAAATGGGGGATCCCCTCCATGCCGTTCCCCTAAAATAGGTGACCCCCTCCATGCCATTCCCCTGAAACAGGGACTGCCTCAGTGCCTTTCCCTAAAATGGGTGACCACTTCCGTCTTGTTACCCTACAACGGGTGGCCACCTCCATGCCATCCCCTGTAACGGGTGACCGCCTCTGTCCCATTTCCCCAAAATGAGTTACCACCTCCATTCCATTCCCCTAAAAACGGGTGACCGCCTCCGTCCTGTTCTCCTAAAACGGGTGACCACTCCTCCATGCCATTCCCTAAAACGGGTGACCGCCCCCGTCCTGTTCCCCTAAAAAGGGTGACCATCTCCATCACAGGACCTCGAGAACTCAGCACAGTGAGGAACAAGCACAGACCAGACTGCCAAACACCCAGCAAGGAGTGTCCTCAGACCTGCAGTCTCTCTTACCATGGAGGCCCTGGCACCCAGCACAGCCATGGAAGGCTGGAGGCCTCAGGAAGTCCCAGAGGATGACAAGGTAAGGTCTGGAGAGGCCTGTGGCCCGCATCTGAGCAGTGTCTGAGCTGCATAAGCCTGGCAGCGATACCTCTGGGGCAGCCAGGCAGTTGACGGTGGCCTTGAGAATCCTGCCGTTTCCTGCCCACCACCCTAACTCCAGGGTCCCCTCAAGACTCGTCACCTCCCGGGCATGTCCTCCTGGCCACACAGTCCCTCTGGGCTCCTAGCTCTCGGGGTCACCCTGGCACACCTCCCCACCCCTCCGCCCAGAAGATGGGTGATGTGTCCCTTTGTGGGTTCTAGGATTCCTGGCATTGCCACCACCGGGTCTCGCACAGGGGAGCCCTGAGACCATCCTCCACCCAGGCTGGCCCAAGAGCCTCTTCTGGGCCCTCCAGCACAGCTGAGCCAAGGCCACACATGTGTGACCTACCCAGCACTCAAGGGGAGCCCACTCTCCTTTCCAGGGGACTGAGGAGGAAGCAGCCTGGGAAGGGGAGGCCGCCGCCCAAGATCACAGAACAGGAAACACAGAGGGGGCCCAGAGCCCTTTCACACGCTGCACACCCACCTTCCAGGGTCTGCTCCAGCTCTAAAGGAAAGCGCTACGAGCCACCCCGCTGAGGTCAACACCACCACCTCCTGTTGTGTCCAGAGGGAAGCTTAGGAGCTGCAGTTTCTCATCCAAGGCCGCCATGGTGAGCGGCGGAGCGGGGAATCTGAGCCCACGTCTGCTGACCCCAGCGCTCTCGGGAACACGACCCAGCGACCGTGGGCATTCTGGACCTTCGCCAGGGCCAGCCGTAATATCCCTTCCCATTCCTTGGCTGGGCTGGGGGAAACGGATGAGACCAGCGCTAGCGCGGGAGGAATCCGATCCTGGGCGAGGCCGGCGAGGGAACGTCAGCTGCATTAGCCAAAGAGGCTTAGCCTGGCAGAGGCGCTAAGCAGATCAGGGCCCCGTGCGCCCCAGAG